CCAGCCCTGAGGCCCTGGACCACGCTCCGCGACGGCTGAAAAGCCCGCGTCGATGCACCAAGCTGGCTAAGCGAGCGAGCTGCGACGCACTGCAACAACTCAAGGTACAACACCTGCGGTGGGAACTCGAGCGCCAGCGCACAGGAGGCCAGCGGTGCCCACTCGATGGAGTCATAGAACGACTGAATGTCAACGAGGGCCTCGCCCGTGGCAACTCCAAGGTGATGAGACACCTCCTGCTGCAACACGCGCACGAAGGCCTCGCGGAGGCTCGAGTTCCCCCTGATAGCTGCGTCCCAGTGAGCTTCTGCCGATGCGGACCAGCTGCGCACGTATGGCTCACGGATAAGACTCCATAGCCTGCCCACCATCGATACAAGTCCAATGATACGATCTCCATTTGATTTCTTAGGCAGGAGGCGCCCTAGAATCAGAAGGATTTGTCCTGGCCATACAAGATGATACTCGCATGCTTGATACAGCAACACGAGCTCGGCGAGTGCCTCGTCGGGGAGGCGCTCGAAGTCGAGCGGACTCAGCATATCCACCCCCATGCCAGCACGTCCCTTCATCTTGCGAAGGGCACCTCTCGCTTCCGAAATTGAAATATCTGGCAAGGACTCCGTGGCAGCAGCAGCTTGAATCTTGGCGAAGATCCGAGAGATTTCGTCTTCGTCCAAAGCTGCTGGTGCCCACAAGTCGTGCCACAACTTAGCTTTGTGGTCTATCATATCACGTGGGTGAAAGAGAACTCTATCTTCAAGAACCGTGTCCAGGCTCGGCAGAGCCTGCGGATTGAGGGCCTTGTGTAGGGTTCCCACGGCACCATCCTCACCCATAAAATCCTTGAACTCATTGACACTTTCCTGAACAGCTCTGCGCTGGGCTCTCGCCATGATCCTCCTGGAGCTGTCCTCGAAGCTCGCGAGCACCGGCGTGACCACGTCGTTCGCACTGCTCAGAATCCTCTCCCATTCAGCCCATGGCGGATCACGCCCGTCGAGTAGGACACGCTGAACATGCTCAGGCAGATCCGCCAGGTGACGTATAAGACCTTGCACGTAGCGCTCGACTTGCAGAGCCCCATTGTCCTTCGTCCTGTGCAACACTAGGCCCACGAGCAGCACGTTGACTTGCGTCCACCACCCGCTGACCTGATCCCGCAGCGGCGTCGCACGTACCTTCTGCGGGAGCTTCACTGTGGTCACCGTGAACCTGGGCCCCGTGGCTCTCGAAGGGCCTCGCGGCAGGTCCACTCCATGATGAGACGTGATGGTGGATTCGACAGCAGACACCCAAGAGGCGTAGAGGCCTGAAATAGTCTCAAGCTCAACAGGCTTGAGCCGAACGGCTACGGATTGACGCAGAGCAGGAGCGAGGGACTGAAGAGTGGCTGCCCCAGTAATGAACCCTACATCACGCCTACATCTAGTCCACAGATCAGTTGGGATAGCGAACGACGGGGCTCCTCCAGAGCCTTCCCCTTCCAGCCCAAGCCCCAGAGGGCCTCCTGCCCCAGAGGAGTCCAGGGTCTGCGGCTGAGGATGGCCAAGAGCAGGAGCCGCAACGCTCGGAGGCTCCACCCCAGACTGCTCGGCCACTTCAGGCACGCCTCTGGAGACCTCGTGAGACCTGTGAGGGGGCCCAGGCTGGGAATTACTTAGCATACTAGTTTGCTCATCATTTACTTCAGACGCTGCAGTGAGAGCGGGGAGGAGGGAGGAGTCAGGGCAGAAAGATAATTCTTCGGCCCACGGGTCTTCCTCCTCAGGCCACTCGTCAAAATTGAAAGGGTCATTGAACTGCCCCCCAATCCCCGCGACCGACTGGTCATTTTCCCCAGGACCGTCAGCCACAGAGATCGCAGCAGCGGATTGCTCGTTCTGCCAGCAATCCTCGAACAAAGAAGAACACTTAACGGCTCGCTTCTCGACAGCAAGCTGATGTTGCACCCTACGCGAAGCTTTAGCCAAGCTAGACTTTGACCCAGCAGTGGCTTCTTTACACGGCCGAGGAACCTGTGGGAGGCGCCCAGGGGTCTCTAAAATCCTTGTCAAGAGCTGGTCCCCAGACCTACGCAAGACAATTTCTAGCCCTATGTGCGGCCTCCAAGGAACCGAAATGACAGGCCTAATATCGGCAACGAAAGGTACTGCTGATTGACTGCACAGAAGATAATCAATGACAGTGCCCGAGCCAAGATTACACGTCGCAGCTCCTTTTGCCTGCAACACTACTGCGTGCAAGCGACTGACAATGCCTGACCTCTCAAGCTGCTGAAGGGGTCATGTTGAAGCCCCCTGCAACGATCCAGGGGAGCTGAAGAAACCAGAGGAGCCCCGCCAACCTCTGGAATCTGCCCAGGTTGGCTCCTCGGAGCCCTAAACAACTATGCGCATAAAAGCTGATCATAATCATACTGAAGCCTGAAAAATGAACGACTGTGGCGATGAAGCCATCAAAACAAGACGGATGGAGCGGCGCAGACAATCTACTCACTGAAAGCCATGCGGCTGGGAGTCGATGCGTCTACAGGTGCCCCTTTGACAGGAACCACTCGCCGCCCTCATTGGAGTGCTCCATCAGCGACTCCCTCTTGGTACCGACAGCAGCCATCGCCTTCGACGAAGGCCTCGCAGGATTGGTGAACAGCCTCAGGCCCTTACCCCGAGCCTTGGCGTCATATTGACGGAGAGTCTTGGCGTCGTGGACGTGAGACTCAACCACACTGATGAAGTCGAAAGAGTTGGACACAAGCCAATTCCAGCACTTCTCCCCCATGCACGTGACGTTAGCATAGAACCAACGGCTATGCTCCCCTGCCGCCTCCTCTGGCGGCTCCGATGTCCTCGACGTCATACCAGATAGTCAAGAACTGGCGTCGCTCTGGGAGGCTGCGAAGCCCTTGCCGTTGCTCTTGCCATTCACCTTCTGCGCCTCTGCGATGAACTTGGCCTCCGACAACCGTTTGGCCTCGTCCGCGATTTGCTTCTCCTTCACTGCTTGGGCCTCCTTGGCCTTGGCCTCTGCCGCGGCGGCGTCCGCATCTGCAGCTGCGGCCACGCCATGCGGAGCTCCTCCTGGAGAGCCCGCTGCCGCCGCCTTGGGCTGCTGGCCGCCGTCGCCATTCTCGCCGCCCGCCATGGCCTGGCCGTCGGCCACACGCCTCTTCTTGAGGAGGCGCTGCTCTATGTCCTTCTTCACAGACTCCATCTGCTCGAGCCAAGCCTTGACCTCGGCCTCCTTGGAGGCCATGGCGCCCCGCGTGGCCTCCAGGTTCTTCTTGAGGCCCCGCAAGGCCTCACGCTCGTGCTCCTCGCACTCCATGTTCTCGATCTGGTCGAAGAACTTGCAATCCCAGCTGATGTGGAAGATGGGCTTATCAGCGGCTGGCCCGTCGGCAGCTGTCGTCGCAGAGATGGTCTCGACGCCCTCGGCGTGTGCCACCGCCTGCGCTGCTGCCTTGCGGGCCATTGTGGCCTCCGCCACTGCTCGTGCCGCCGACGTCTCCTTCTCCTCTGCCACCGCGAGCTGCTTCCGCAGCCGCAGCACATGTGAAACTTGTTGCGAATGCCGATGCTCCGCATCTTTGCAAACTCCCTCAGCTCGCCGAAGTGCTTCCACGAGGGATGGCTCGTTTTTGGGCTTGGCCTCTGCGACCAGCCTGTCCACCTGCTTGCGCAAGCATCCGATGAGCTCCTGGTCCTGCGTCGCCTTCAGCGCCTGGTCCAGGATGGCTGCAACGTCCGCCTCTGCGCCGCCGTGGCCGCCCTTGTTGTTGCCGCGGCCCTTGCCACTGCCCCACTTGGTCCCTCGCGGAACCACGAGCTCCTCCTCACTGTCCGACACGTCGAAGGTGACTCGCCGAGTTTTGAACAATGGAACTCGAGAGCCGCACCCCCGGCAGGAACCTCCTGCCTTGGTCAGCTCGGCGTTGTACTCGCATACACCGCAGTCGGGGCACCTGCTCCACGGACCACGATTCCTCCGCGCGACGGAGGTTCCCCTAGCCATTGCTTCTCCCCTGCTTTGGTCGAGATCTGGCGCTGTGTTCAGAGAATGGTGCGCGCCCAAATCTAGTCACTCAAGTGCCTCGGTGCGGCACAGGGGAAGGAGGCCAAAACAAAATGACTTGACCCCCAATACTTGAGAGGAGGAGGAGGAGGAGGAGGAGGAGGAGGAGGAGGAGGAGGAGAGGAGGAGGAGGAGGAGGAGGAGGAGGAGGGGAGGGAGGGGAGGAGGAGTGGGAGGAGGAGAGGAGGCGAGGAGGTGGATGATGATGATGATGATGATGATGATGATGATGATGATGATGATGATGATGATGATGATGATGATGATGATGATGATGCTGATGATGATGATGATGATGATGATGATGATGATGATGCTGATATTGATGATGATGATAAAGCTGATGATGCTGATGATGATGATGACGATGACGATGATGATGAATGGCGATGATGATGATGATGAGGAGGAGGAGGAGGATGAGGAGGAGGATGAGGATGAGGATGAGGATGAGGATGAGGATGATGATGATGATGATGATGATGAGGAGGAGGAGGAGGAGGAGGAGGAGGAGGAGGGGGAGTGGAAGGGGAAGCAGTCGGCCGAGGATAAGCAGCAGGGACAGAAGGAGGACGAGGAGAGCCACGAGGAAGAGAAGGCGCGTCAGGAGTTGCAGCATCGGGATGAAGAGCAGGATCAAACGGATCGGCATGAGGATATGATGATGAGTCCGTGCGGACACGGAATGGGAAGGAGAAGCATGAACGGGAGAAGCAACAGCAGCAAGCGCGGTGCACGGCAATATGCAGCAGCAGAAACAGAAGCCCGCTCCAGATATTCCCTGGTTCATACCTTCAAGCAGCGCTGGCAAGACCTCGTAATTATGTAGGTTCTCCCTCCCTGGCCGAGACTGTGATAGTGGTGCAGTACCAAAATGAAGACGACACTCGGTAAAAAACAATTGGTGCAACGTTCCAGTGACACTTTTCTGATGCAGGAACAATCAAAATATAAGATTTGTCGTGAACTTGCCAGCGGGCACCTGTCTGCAGAAGAAGGGGCCACTCACTCCGTCTTGACGAGCTCCCGAAGCCGAGGAGCAAGTGTCCTGTATCATATTCTCTTGGCTGGTGGAGCTCCCAGTCGATACCACCACCCCTGCGGAGGCGCCACTCACAACCTGGAAGCTGCCGAATGCGGTCGGAATAGACGGCATCGGATAACCGCACTGCATCGCCCATTAATCGGTAACGTCAGGCAGGAGGACAACATCGGGCTGCGAATCGTGCCGTCTCGCCGATGCATCGGCGGTGCGGCGAGACCCTCCGGCCCCTGCTGCTCTGGCCTCTCCTGGGCGGCCTGGGCAACCGCTGGGGCGCTCCGAGCTGCTCTGGCCGCCAACTCAGTGGGCCTGGCACATGGCCCTGCTCAACCGGGCCCCGTGGCCGTGGCGCGGGAGACCGACCACCGGCGGCGCTCGCCGTGCTGCGAGCGCGCTTTGCAGCAGGCCGTGATCCCGCAGCCCGCCCAGCGCGAGAGCAGCCTCAGCAGCCGGCGCTGCACGCGCACGACGGCCGCGCGGCGACCCTGCGGCCAAGGCGCCTCCGGGTCGGCGGCGCGGGGCCGCCGCCAGCCGCGTACCAACAGCCGCCGGCGCAACCGGTACCTCGCCGACCAGCCATACCTGGGGGAGCTGCGGTCCTTACCCCCCAGGGGGAACCCATCGCATCGACGATCTCTCGAGAGGGGTGTCGAAATCGATGGTCCCCCCAGGGGGGTAAGGACCACAGCTCCCCCAGTTGTGGCTGGCCGAGCCTCGTGTCCAGAGACCGCATGCGCGTCACGATGCGGTGTGGGCACCGGCCGGACTCCGCCCACACGTCCACGTAGGCCTTGCGCAGGCGGCTCCACGCGGCGTCCATCTGGTCCAGAGGCTGCCTGCGCCCAGGGGCGGCCAGGTCCTCGGCGCCGCGGGCATCGCTCAGCCGGCGCCAAGCCCGCATGCCGCCTTCCAGGCCGTCCGCGACGCCGAAGCACGGGGTGCACAGGGGGATCCCCACCCAAGTCTTGGCCGGCACCGCCGCGAAGAAGTGGAGCTGCATGGAGCGCACCGCGCCGATGCCGAGCTCCCGGATCTCCTCCGCGAACGCCTCCCGGAAGCGGAGCTCCCACGCCTGCTGGCGCAGGCCCAGCGACGCACCGGCCCTCCAGCGCTCCACGCCCACCCTGCGGCGGATGCGGAGGAGCACCCCCAGGTTCTGCTGGGCGGCCGCCAGGTCCCGGCAGTAGGCGGTCGCCATGTGCAGCGGGCCCGCCGCCAGGCTGGCGCGGAAGGACAGGCGGCCGCCGCGGCGGTGGCGCTGTATGCCAAAGAGGGCCCCGCGCCTCGCCCTCCCACTGGGCGCCAGCGGCGCGGGCGGCGCTGGCGGCGGCGATGCCGCCGCCGCGCGCGGGGCCACGGCGCCCGCGGGCGCCGCGGCCGGCTGCGCGGCGGCTGCGCGGCTGGTGCGCGCGGCTCCCGGAGCCTGGCTGGGCCCCCCAGGCTGGGCGCGCGCAGCCAGACCCGGGCGCGCGGGCGCCAACGCCCCTGGGCCTGCGCCAGCGACCCCGCTTCCTCGGCGCCCGCACGAGGCTGCGCTGGGCCGCCGCTCCCTCTCCCGTGCGGCGAGGCCCTGGAGCGCGGGCGCCGGCGCCGCGAGGCCCACGCTGGCGACGCCCTCTGGTCGGCGCCCGCAGCGAGCCGCGCTGGGCCGCCGCTCCCATGCGAGGATCCAGGACTCGAGGGCGCGCCGCTGGCCCTCGGTGAAGCACTCAGACAGCAGCCTGCGGCGGGCCGCCGGGTCCTGGGCCTTCAGCAGCCGGTAGAGCTGCGCCCCGACGCCGCGCTGCCGGGCGTGGCTGCCGTGGCGCCCCACAAGCGCGCAGGCGCCTGCTGGGCCCCGGGAGGCGCTCCCCTGGATCCACCTCTGCTCCTCCTCCTGCCGCTCCCCGCAGGCGCGCCGGCATCGTGAACCGTCGGCATCGTCTACTGTCGTCCTCGTGGTCGTGCACCTCCTCCGCCTCCGCCTCCGCCTCGGGCCCTTGTCCCCGTTCCCTGTCCACTTCCCGGGACCTGGGAGCCGACGGCATAAGGAGCACACGGGGGCTGCCATTGGTCCTCGCCTGCGGGTGCAGTACGGCACCGCAGGCGGGGGGCCACTCCGAACAGGGGCCGCTGGCGCCCGACGGCGGGCCGCGGGCCTCCTCCTCCGCCCCAGCCTCGCTCTCTTCACATGGCCTCGCGCCTTCCCTCCTTGCGCCTCAGGCTGGCGTTGGGTCCTCCTCCTCGCCCTCCTTCTCGTGCTTCTCCTCCCCCCATCCTCCTCCTCCTCCTCCTCCTCCTCCTCCTCCTCCTCCTCCTCCTCCTCCTCCTCCTCCTCCTCGAGGCGGGCCACGCTTCCTGGGCTTCCTGGGCATGCTGGCCATGCTTCCATGGGCTTCCATGATTCCTCTTCTTCCTCTTGCTCCTCACTCTTCTTCTAAATCTACTGGTCCTCGCCGCCTCCGTCCCGTTCTCGTCTCCCGTGTACTCGTCGTCGTCGTCGTCGTCGTCGTCGTCGTCTTGCACCTCTTCATATTGCTCCTCCGCATTCCTCTCATCCTCCCACGACTCGCTTCCTCTCCACTTCCTCCCCCTCCTCCCCCCTACTTCCCCTCGGAGCCTCACGGTTTCTATCTTTTCCACTCCTCGTCGTGGTGGTGGCCATGGTCGTGGTCGTCGTGGTCATCGTTTTTCCTCGGGGATGGCCCCCAGACCTTTCCAAGGTGACAACTTTGTCCTATCCCGTGCAACAATCGTTACCCGGGGGGGGGTCAGACGGGAGGGTAACGGTAACGGCGGGCGCGGCGTGCACCGCCAGTGTGCGCCCGCGCCACTGGCGCATCAATCACCTGTGTGCACCACCATGGCAATTCAAAATGCCTGCGTGCACCACAGCGCCACAGCACGCATGTGAGCACCGAAGCATGACATTCAGCACCGCACCATGCCTGCACATTCGGCGCCGCAACAGGTGGGGAGCCTGCGAGCTCCACCTCAAGCTTGTGAGCACCAACGCATGCTGTTCAGCACCACGCCATGCCTGTGAGCACGGCGCCATACCTGCGGGAGGTCCGCCCCCTAGCATGTAGAAAGGGTCCAGGCCCACTTCCCCAGTATGACCGTTAGCGTTACCCGGGGGGGGGGGGGCCGGGTAACCAGCATCACCCTAGGGAAGGGGAACTCCACGCTCACAAGAGCGCGCGCTGACCATCATTTCGACGCGAAGCTGGCTATGGCGATAATTAAGGTCGCCTGGGTCGTTTCTTCACAGCCCCGCGGCCCCGCCAGCGCCCCAGGACGCCGAACACGACAACAACAAACGTATCCCGGCAAAGCAACCTAACAGCGATGTGTAGGAGCATATCTGGAAGCATTCCTCAAAAAGATTCAGATGAGAATCCAGTTGTCGAATTCTGCTGTTCTCGCAGTCGTAGTCGCATTCGCGATGACAGTCGCAGTGGCAGTGGCAGTCGCAGTCACAGCCTCAGCCTCAGCCTGCCTCTGCCTCAGCCTCAGCCTGCTTCAGCCTCAGCCTCAATCTGCCTTCAGCCTCGGCCTCAGCCTGCTTCAGCCTCAGCATCAGTCTGCCTTCAGCGTCGGCCGCAGCCTCAGCCTGCCTCAGCCTCACCCTGCATCAGCCTCAGCCTCAGCCTCAGCCTCAGCCTGCCTCAGCCTCAGCCTGCCTCAGCCTCAGCCTCAGCCTGCCTCTGCCTCAGCCTCAGCCTGCTTCAGCCTCAGCCTCAGTCTGCCTCGGCCTCGGCCTCAGCCTGCCTCAGCCTCAGCCTGCCTCAGCCTCAGCCTCAGCCTCAGCCTCAGCCTGCCTCAGCCTCAGCCAGCCTGCCTCAGCCTCAGCCTCAGCCTGCCTCAGCCTCAGCCTCAGCCTGCTTCAGCCTCAGTCTGCCTTCAGCCTCGGCCTCAGCCTCAGCCTGCCTCAGCCTCAGCCTGCCTCAGCCTCAGCCTCAGCCTGCAGCCTCAGCCTCAGCCTCAGCCTTCAGCCTCAGCCTCAGCCTCAGCCTGCCTCAGCCTCAGCCTGCATCAGCCTCAGCCTCAGCCTCAGCCTGCCTCAGCCTCAGCCTCAGCCTCAGCCTCAGCCTCAGCCTCAGCCTGCCTCAGCCTCAGCCTCAGCCTCAGCCTCAGCCTGCACCTCAGCCTCTCAGCCTCAGCCTGCCTCAGCAGCCTCAGCCTCAGCCTGCAGCCTCAGCCTGCAGCCTCAGCCTCAGCCTCCTCAGCCTCAGCCTCAGCCTCAGCCTCAGCCTCAGCCTGCCTTCAGCCTCGGCCTCAGCCTCAGCCTGCCTCAGCCTCAGCCTGCATCAGCCTCAGCCTCAGCCTCAGCCTGCCTCAGCCTCAGCCTGCAGCCTCAGCCTCAGCCTCAGCCAGCCTGCCTCAGCCTCAGCCTCAGCCTGCTTCAGCCTCAGCCTCAGTCTGCCTTCAGCCTCGGCCTCAGCCTCAGCCTGCCTCAGCCTCAGCCTGCATCAGCCTCAGCCTCAGCCTCAGCCTGCCTCAGCCTCAGCATCAGCCTGCCTCAGCCTCAGCCTCAGCCTGCCTCAGCCTCAGCCTCAGCCTGCTCCAGCCTCAGCCTCAGTCTGCCTTCAGCATCGGCCTCAGCCTCAGCCTGCCTCAGCCTCAGCCTGCATCAGCCTCAGCCTCAGCCTCAGCCTGTCTCAGCATTAGCCTGCCTCAGCCTCAGCCTCAGCCTGCCTCAGCCTCAGCCTCAGCCTGCTTCAGCCTCAGCATCAGTCTTCCTTCAGCCTCGGCCTCAGCCTCAGCCTGCCTCAGCCTCAGCCTGCAGCCTCAGCCTCAGCCTGCCTCAGCATCAGCCTGCCTCAGCCTCAGCCTCAGCCTCAGCCTCAGCCTCAGCCTGCTTCAGCCTCAGCCTCAGTCTGCCTTCAGCCTCGGCCTCAGCCTCAGCTGCTTCAGCCTCAGCCTGCATCAGCCTCAGCCTCAGCCTCAGCCTGCCTCAGCATCAGCCTGCCTCAGCCTCAGCCTGCCTCAGCCTCAGCCTCAGCCTCAGCCTCAGCCTGCTTCAGCCTCAGCCTCAGCCTTCAGCCTCGGCCTCAGCCTCAGCCTGCCTCAGCCTCAGCCTGCCTCAGCCTCAGCATCAGCCTGCCTCAGCATTCAAAATGTGGCCCGGGAATGGAGTTCTGGGAACTCGAAGAACACGAAGTGGCCTACAGTTGGCTCCGGGCATTCAAAATCATGCCCAGGAATGGAGTTCTGGGAACTCGAAACCACGAAGTGGCCTACAGTTGGCTCCGGGCATTCAAAATCATGCCCAGGAATGGAGTTCTGGGAACTCGAAGACCACGAAGTGGCCTACAGTTGGCTCCGGGCATTCAAAATCATGCCCAGGAATGGAGTTCTGGGAATCGAAGACCACGAAGTGGCCTACAGTTGGCTCCGGGCATTCAAAATCATGCCCAGGAATGGAGTTCTGGGACCTCGAATACCACGAAGTGGCCTACGGTTGGCTCCGGGCATTCAAAATCATGCCCAGGAGTGGAGTTCTGGGACCTCGAAGACCACGAAGTGGCCTACAGTTGGCTCCGGGCATTCAAAATCATGCCCAGGAATGGAGTTCTGCGACCTCGAAGACCACGAAATGTGTAACTGTTTGCTTAAAACGACTTCCGCGGGTTCTCCCCGGCACCCGCCCAGACCCCCCTGGGGAGTCAAGATGCTCTCTTTTGACACTACTAGAAACCTATCAGTCTTCGCTGTTAGGTAAATATGTGCTTCTTTCCAACGCCACGCTGAAAACATTGGTCGTCGTCGACGTCGTCGTCGTCGTCGTCGCCGTCATCGTCGTTTTCGTCGTCGTCGTCATCGTAGTCGTCGTGGTCGTGGTCTTCGTCGTCGTCGTCTTCTTTGTCGTCGTTGCCGTCGTGGTCGTCGTCGTCGCCGTCGTGTCGTCGCAACGCGGTCGTGGTCGTGGGTCATGGGTCGTGCGTCGTGCGTCGTCCGTAAGTCTGTAGTGGGTGGTCGTGGTCGTGGTCGTCGTAGTCGTCGTGCTCGTGCTCGTGCTCGTGGTCATCGTGGTCGTGATCGTGGTCGTCGTGGTCGTCGTGGTCTTCGTCGTCGTCGTCGTCGTCAGACGACGCCTGCGGCGCAGGCTGGCCGCCGGGGGGGCGCCCGCCGGCGAGGCTCGGGGCCGCGCGGCGCCCTGCTGGCGGCAGCGGCGGGCAGCCCGCCAGGGGCGCCCGGGGACGCTGGCCACGGCGGCGTCTTCCGCCTCCCAATCGGCTGCACGCCACGTGCGCGACTTTCGGGGGCCGCGTGGAGGCCAAACCCGAGCGCGCGAGACGCTGCTATCGCACTGCAATCCGTTGGGGACCTCCGT